GGCAGCCCTTCCTGTCAAGTTCTGGAAGGTAAACTTTGTGAAAGAAATAAACCAAGACTGTTCTTAAGAACTTCTGTCATTAATTTTAATTGAGACCCCCACTGACTTGAGTTCACATATAGGAATCAACTAGAAAATGACATATGCTGGGATTTTATACTTTTTAAAGTGCTTTCACTTGACCCTTAAAATACTCCATGAAGGAGAAAGGGCAGGTATCTTCATTCCATAAAGATCCACTGACTGCTTACCATGGGCCTGATTGTACTGCCCTACCTTGCGGACATGTGGGAGAGAGCCATAAACAAAGTCCAGCCCTGCCCTCAGGGGACTATAGGCAGAGGACAGATCACATCCCCAGTTAGTCCCAGGGGGATCCTCCATCCAAGTACTGACCAAGTTTTCAAGGTGAAACATATTCAGATTGTTTCATCAAAGTCCCAATTTTGAGGCAAGGAAAGTTGAGGCCCAGAGAGGTTGAACAGATTGGAAAAGTCACATAGTCAGCCAGCAACAGAAAGGGAGGTAAACTAATCAGATTAAGTGCGGGTCAACTATGTGCTAGGACCTTGCTCTCAGTCATCCACGATACCATTTGATCTAGTGCTTGACAACCTGCAGGGCAGCTAATCTCTATCTTCCAGGTAAACTGAGGGTCAGGACGAATCAAAACACACCCAAGGTCCACACTTAATGATGAACTGAATGTTCCCCAAATGAGTCTTCCTGTGAGGGGCAGCAAAGTCAGCAAAGACCTAGTTCACCATCTTGGTGATGTCACTCCCCCAAAACGAATCTTAAGACAAAGCCCAAAATTCCTTCTCTTACAACAGCACTTGCAAATCTTCAGTCATCTACAAACTACTCACAAGTTTCACCACATCCACAAAAAAGTATGTCTGCTTTAAATTAACTTCAATTTTTTTTTCCTATTTAACATCCTCTGAAACAGTAATACCCATGAAACTGCAATGTGATGTGGGTTAAAATTCGAAGCTGTCATCTCTGTACTGCTGGAAGTCATCTCAGATACCACACAAGGCTCGCTCGGAGAAACCCTCCTTCCTGCCAGGCTGCATCTCACAGACACAGAATCTAAACCTGTTACTTCCTCTAGAGTTTTTGAGAATATGTGCCACTTTTACGTTTCTTTTCGATTGTAGTCATGATAGCAACTTAAGAAGAACGAGTGCTCCTCACTTTGACTCCCAAACTTTGATGTAGCCCCGACTCAGCCTGGGTGGTTGTGGGTTTAGGAAGAAAATAATAAAATGTCCCAAAAGTTCCAGTGATGAGAAGACTGGGTAAGACCACCCTGTAAAGCTTCCTATGTGAGTTTCTTAACTAGGATGGTTTCAAGGATAATTAGATCTGTCTCTGACTTAACTCTTAAAACTGGAGGTCCTCCCATTTGGAGGATTAGTAGAACAGCACAAGAGAGCACTGCTTTCTACTAAGAGCACCGCACGGGGCAGTGGAGGTTTAGCTGGGTCCCTTTCCTGGAACATCCCTCCAGTGGCTGCGCAAACTTGGGAAACTCCCCCCCCACCGCCATCCCTGATCACAGTCTTTTCTAGAACAGACGTTCCATATGGACAGGGGCCATATTTGTTTTGTACACTTCTGTGTCCCAGCACCTAGAACAGTGGTTGGGACATATTAGATGTTCAATAAATATTGGCTGAATGTTTGAACCAATCCACCCTTTTATCTATAAATGAACTAAGTGGCCTCTAAGAGCCTATCCAACCAGTGGAAAGAAAACAATGCCCTAGCCCGGCAAACCATGGGACTAGAAGAGAGCAGAGACTCTCTGTCCACAAATTACCTGTGGACAGTCCAACGATTCAGCAGATGGAAGTGGAAGGAAAGAACAAAGAAGATAAGTCCTCTAGCCAGATCACAGACGCAGGAGCGCAGGGGCCCAGCACAGATGACAACGTGGGTTGGGAGATCTGTAAAGGCCTGAATGGCCCTGTCCAAACAGGTTGTGAGTCTCCAGTGGCCTGATCCAAACCTCAAGCCTTGGTTCCACAGCCAGCAACAACTTGGATGAGAATAAAGAGAGCTATTTATCAAATTCCTGCACAACAGGCAACAACAATATAATACACAGCAGAACCAGTAGTATGAAGCAACACAGGGACTCTAGCCATGTAAAATAGAAAAGAGAGAGATTTTCTCCCTTTAGGCTTAAAAAGCCAACAGCACAGTTCGGAGAACAAGTCATCTGCCATGCCGAGTATTTAAAAGGCTCTGCAGTTTGAGTTGACTGCACATGGAATATGAGTCAACAGCATGACGTGGATGCCAGGAAGCCTCCTGCAATCTCAGATTGCGTCAACAGAAATAGGGGGCTCAGAACAAGAGAGGCAAAAGTCCCTTTCTGCTCTGTGCTGGAAGACCGTTGTAATTTCTGATCAACTTTGAGAAAGACACAGACACAATGAAACACAGCCAACCAGAGGAGAGGCAGAGATGGGAGGACAGGGAAGGGGCCACATTCCAGAAGAGGAGTGGAGGACATGTATCCTAGAAAAAGGAAAGGCTTCGGAAGAGAAGGGAAAACACACAAGAGCTGTCTTTAAACATTTGAAGGGAACTAGACGAGCCTCAGTCTCTGGAAGGTACAGCAAACCAGTGAATACTGTCTGATAATCAGCTGCCAATACCCAGAATGAGCTGCCATGTGAGAGGCAGGTCCCCGCCTTGGGAAGTGGGTGTGTGAAAGGTAGGAAAGATTGATGAGGGCAGGGCTCTGGACCAAGGATCCTTCCCTTCCTGACAGCGACACTGCAAGAGAGCAGAGCCCACTGCGCTGTGAGCAGGGCTGTTGTACAGATAAACAGAGGTCTCTAAGCGGGAGCCGCACTGACATATCCAGCCTCGGACTCTCTCTGACAGCTAGAGTGTGATTCAGATTCGACAAAGAGCTACTGACTTCACCTCAGAAGAAGCCATGTTTCTGTGAGTTTCCCTCTGGACTGAGGCCTGGCTCAGTGCTGCAAGACAGGCAAAGCAAGGTGGAAGCATTGAAGAAGTAGCTGCAGGGCAGATAAGGGAACTTACTGGGTGAATGGAGAGTTCAGCAGATAGAGACAATCAGAATCAGAGATCTCTCTTTGGAGCTGTGCAGATAATGTTTTCTGAGCACAGGTTTGGTTTCTCTGCTCCATCCTAACTCATGTCTCTGGTTGCTGTGTGTCTAGGGAAGCCCCCACTGAGATCTGAAACTCTGCGTAACAACTTACCCACCATCAAAAGTGTTTCTCCTGCCGTGCAGTGGAGAGGCAAAGACCGAGGCAGGGTGCTCAGGAATGCATCACTGACACGCAGGAATAATAGTTGCTCCTTTTTATTGAACATCTACTGTGTGCCGGACATCATGGTAGGGTTTACATTTTACATTACAAGCTACCTGTTATTTATAGCTGAAAAAATCAAGACTCAGAGAGGTTGAACGGCTTGGCCAAGACAGCAGCACTCCAAAATAATCACAGCCCACGTTCACAGAGTGCTCCTACATGCCAGGAGCAGTTTTTAGACAATTAAATGTTTCATCTCCTTCACTCCCCACAACAATCCTATGAGCTAGGTTTCTTCACTTTACAGATGAGAAGAGTGGCCCACAAGCACCTAAAGGACTTACAGAGTCACCAAGCTACAAAGTAATACATCGTAGCACTCTGTCCTCTGGGTCACACCATCTCCTCAGTAGGAGAAACAACCCTAGCTCTGCCTCTGGTCCACCAGGCAGGGGACCCCCAGTAGATCGGGAAGGCCGACGTTTTGACTGGTGGTTGCGAACTCTGGTGTGTCCTATGCTGGGACAGGCACACGTGTGCAGGACAGGGCCCTACGTCTGGGGGTGGTCTGGCTGGGCACTCCTCCAAGCTGATCCAGGAGCCCAAGGGGGGCCACATCTGCCCCGATGTGAAACGACCCCCCACCCCCACCCCGCACCACCCCACACACAGTTTGGGCTCCCTTTGTCAGCAGGTCCCACGCTGCCTGCTGCCTCTTTTCCTGCCCAGGGAAAGCACAGTCCCACTGCCCAAGAGAAAGCTCCAGCCCAAGTCTGGCTTAAACTCTAGCACTTAACACCATTTCTTCTTTTGCCAAGTGGATCGCAAACTGGGAAGCGCCTCAACAAAAGCCGGCCTACCTCATCCCTCCCCAGATACTGAACTAAGTAAAAAAACTACTTTCCTAGAACAGTGGTGGCGGCTGACTCGTGATGGAAGCAATTTACCACTCATGCTGTTTAGAACCACCGGCGCATGGTGATGATAAAAAGCAGACTGCTTCAGTCGGTTTCATTATTGTTCGTAAACTCTCTACAGAGCACGCACGCCATCACTGCCTGCACCCGGGCCGGCTCCCACCACCCTCTACTCCGCAAGTGACTTCTGCAGCCAGTGCCCGGCCAGCAAGCTGCCTGCTCTCAGACGCTTCCAGGCGGCATGCCACAAACTGCCCACACACTCCCTGCATCAGAGATGCAGATGTCACTTTTTAAAGATCAAAGTTCAAATGCCCATCAAACTAAATCAAATGACACGGGGGAAGATGAACTACATTTTCCTTTGAGAAATGAATGCTTATCTTTCACTTTTCCATATCAAATTGCAACTGTAATTGCTCTTGTATGCACAGAAGTATCCTCTATCTATAAATGTGCCCATTCGCCGCAACCATATGGCCAATTCCAAAAAAACTGAGGTTGGCAGCACCCCGCACCCCTAACTGTCCTAACGCCAGGCCTGTGCCATCTCTCTCTGGGGGATTTTCTTCTGCATCCCCCGGAGGCCAGCACACTCATTGTCTCCCTAGTTTCTTCTCAAATACATCCTGCAGAGAAGCCTTACAGCCCAGCCACTGAGGGAAAAAAAATCCCATAGGGAGGAGCTAAAAGAAACACCAGGCCGCCTGGGCTGCTATCTCTCCTCGGTGCAGGTTAATTTCCAATTATGAACCAATCACAGAAGGCGTGTGCTTACGTGAGCTGGAACGCTCGATCTGGTACAAGGTTCTCAGAACTTTGTGGATGTCCTTCATGCTGGTGTCTCTCTGGCTATACAAAAGAAGCCGGCGGGCATCTGAGAACAGGCGAGACACACTGTGGGGGGTGCAAGAAAAGTAGAAAAGGTCTGGTTAGACCAGCTGCCTGTCCAGCTTGAAGAAAGTACCTGCCAGGAAGACCCAGCCTGGCCACCAGCTCCTCCATGGGCCAGCCCTGACCTACTCCTGCCCCTACACCCAGCTTCACAGACACCCAGTGCTCCCAACCACCCACCCACCAGCCCTACCCCAAGAGCTCCTCCTCTGTGTCCACATAACCAAATCCTACCAGCATTCAAAGTCCAGCCCATGTGCCTCCTCTCCAGGAAGCCTGCCCCCCCCAACCACACACACACACATACACACACACAAACACACACACACCAGCCCCCAGGACCAACTTATCCATGAGATGCAGCAAGGACAGTGCCCAGAGCCCGAGACACTCTAAGGGCTTCACAAAAATTTTACATTTCTTTTATAATCAAAATGAAGAACAAAATTCAGAAATTCAGAATGAACACATATGATAATGAATCCAGTCTGAATTATACTCCCCTTTATACCAACACAGTTACAAAATAAAATTTTTAATAGTTTTGCATGAAAGAAGGGGTCCATGAAAGTCACGAAGCCTAAGGTCCATGAACATCAGAACAGGGTCCTGCCTGCTCAGTGGCAGCTTCCTCAGAACCGTCTTGCTCCATCTCCTGTAGTCCCCAGGCCATTCCACCTCATGTCATGATCTCACATGCCAAGATTCTTCAATGGCTCATACAAAGGCAAAGAAAACGACATCCTGGCCCTCAGGGAGCTCACACCCAGGGATGAGAAAGAGCTGCAGACGGCGGGGCGTTGCATTAGGAAGGACCAAACTCCCCCAGCTTTAGCTGTGAGCTCCCGGAGTGCAGGCCCCTCCCTCTGCACATCTCTGGACCCCCAGCTCCTAGACCAGCCGTTTTCCACACAAATAAATGTTTGCCAAATGAGTGTTTGCTAATGAACAGATGAAGCTGATGTGCTGTGTCTCCCTTCTCTACTTACCCACCAGATTTTGGAGGAACAGCCCCCAGCCACAGCACTTTGAGCTACATAACGTTACTCCTAAAATGCACCAAAGTGAGGTCGCCCAGTCTTACATCGGACTTTATCACACAAGCCTTCCCAAAAGCAGCTTCACTCAATTCCAACCATTCAAAATTCTCTGGAGGTTGAGAAGGGAAGGAAAAGTATTAATGGACAAGTCTGGGAAAGAAAACCTGATCCGGTACTTACATGGATTTGTTAAAGTTTCCAACAACCCCGGGAGCCTCACCAGGAGTCGGATAACGGAAACAGGGGTTATTGGCATTACAGATAATCCCCTGAACCCAAGGAAGTGTTCCTGCAGAGGGCATGGCTTTGTTTGGGAAGTGGCCTGTTGAAATCAAAGAGAAGAAAAACACAAGGAGAGACATTCATTCTTTGAAGGCTCTGGGATTGCTAGGCACCTTTATCTCTTTTGGTGCCATCCAAATACTACTCCATCCCAAATCTGTCTGTCCCTTTCCCAACATCCCAGAGACCTGCCATCACTGGACTAAGCCCACCCTGAGTTGGAAATATGGCTTTAGATAGCAGTTCTGAATCTACTTGGCATCATCTGTAGGATCGGATTCCTAACAGCAGCCTTGGGACAGTGACAAGAGGAGCAGATTCAACCATATAGAGACGGTACCTGGAGGGCAGCAAGTATCAATCCTCAGGCGTCCATCTTTCCCCACCCACCTCACCTTTCAGGGACATAGAGGCGCCCCGGCAATGACGTAACCCAGTTCCTTCACACCCCAAGGAAGAAACTATGGCAAGATAAAGCGGCTGATGAAAAGCACTCAGGGCATCAGTGGGCAGGGCTGGGAGTGGAACCCACATTTCTGTGATCCCAATCCGTGCTTCTCCCCTAACACCTCCTCTGTCTGCTAGCTCTTCTCAGCCCCCTCTGGTACTGTCCTCTGTTGGCCAAACGTACATTAGTTTCACCTTTTCCACCAGCTCCCAAGTTCCTCAAAGGCACAGACCATCTGATGCCGTCTGTGAAGCTACACAAGTTGTTGCTGTTTCTTCACTCATCAGAATGTGAGCCCCAGCCAACAAGTCATCTCCTCCCTCTCCTTCCCCTTCATTATGGAGGAGCCTCTTATGAGCAGCAGGACTGGGTGTACTGGGGCTGGTCCAAAGTGTCAAAGGCACAGTTTGGTTTGTGGACATCAGCCATGGGGTGGCTTAAGAAGATCAAGATAATTGTGTCCTGGAACCAGGGGCTCTTAACCTGACACCTGGCACATGTGAATACCTGTCAACCGAAAACTCTTACTGTATTCTCAGGGTTATCTGTGACCCTTAAGACTTAGCAACCATTAGGAACCACGGCTCTAGGTGTGAAGAGCCAGAGCTTCATAGGCTTTAGGGTCAGACCAACAGGGCTTCAATCCAGTCCCTGCAACTCGCTAGGCAAGAACTTTAGCCAAGTTGCTGAACCCCTAACCCTCAATTTCCTCATCTATAAAATGGTGCTTAAAATACAGCCTCTTTCACAGATCTGCAGTGAGCAGTACATGAGTTTTTACAAGCAAAGCATGTAGCAGAGTCCCTGGCACAGGGTGCAGTCTCCCTGAATGGGCTGTGAGGGTGACAGAGGCCCCAGGGTGCTGAACCTACAACAGTACAGACTCTGCTCATGCCCCACAAAGAACACTCTTTCCATCTTATGGCTACCACCTCCCTCCAAGGCAGGAGCCCCTTTTCATTCAGCTTACTATTTTTATGCAAATGTGCTCACAGAGTCTCCCCGGAAGTTAAGCCACAGCCAGGACTTGCTACATTTTGCACTTCAATATCAGGGTCCTTCTATCTGTCTTGTTCTTCTATCCCTAGTCCAATCAGAGAGGCAACACTCAAAGCAAGAAGGTAACAAGATCTGGTCGCTGTGGCCACTCTCTGCAGGGACTCTGGCTTGTTGAACATTTACTCAGTTAACCCCCTTATCTTCCTGTTAATAGTTCAAGGAAAACCAAACAAGGTCCCTTGCCTAAGTCAGCTGCTCCTCATTCAGGGGAGATTTATGTAACCCAACCAAAGACTCAAAGGACCAAAGGATTCTCTCCTTTAGCATCCAGGAAATACTGGCACCAAGACAGGGTGATGTTCGTCCAGGCTATACCTTGGTGGGTGAAGCAAAGACCCCTCCTGGTATGTTGTGCCCCACCTAATTTGCAAACAAAAACAGGATGAGGACTTGGCATTGGGTGCATAATCCAACAGCCTAATGAACTCTCAGGTTCCAGGGACATGATTAGGACCTTGATGGCTCTGTTTCAAGACTTATAGGGAAGAATTACACATGAATCCTTTGTTTCAGAGACATCTCTGCAAGCTTTGCCTAAGCTCTCTGCCTTTTCAGCTAAGCCTCTAGAAGGTGGTGAGAATAGGAAGTAAGTTTGCAAGAAATGCATAGATTGAGGGTAAAAGTCTTATCTGTCTTCCATAGGTATAAGAATTTTAGGGGGAGGGTATAGCTC